GAAACATTGAGAAGTGAACTTCTAGCAAAGTTGTTCAAATTATAGCCCTGGGGTCAAAATTGCCCGCGCCCCGGGGGGTCATTGATTTTCAATATATACATAATAGTAAAAAAGTCAAAAAATCTTATCATCTGAAGGTACAAGGCTTAGAGCTTTAATATTTGTTAAATGATATCATCTATAGGTACTCTACCAAAGTTGTTCAAATTTTGTCTCTAGTGTCAAAATTAGCCCCGCCCTGGGAGCCATAGGTTTTCCTTATATGTATATAGTAAAAACTTAAAAAATCATCTTCTCTTAATTTACAAATGCTAGAGTTAAGATATTTTGCATGAAACATTGTGTAGTGAACCTCTATAATGATTGTACAAATTATAGCCCTGGGGTCAAAATTGGCCCCATCCCCAGGGTCATTGATTTTCAACTATGTACATATAGTAAAAAATTCTAAAATCTTCTTGTCTGAAGGTACAAGGCTTAGAGCTTTGATATTTGATATATTATATCATCTATGGGTCCTCTACAAAAGTTGTTTTAATTATGCCCCTAGTGTTAAAATTGCCCTGCTCCAGAGGCGATAGTTTTCCTTATATGTATAAAGTAAAAACTTGAAAAATTTTCTTCTCTGAATTGAAAAATCTTCTTCTTTGAACTGACATAGGCTAGAGGTTAAATATATGGCATGAGACTTTGCGAAGTGAACCTTTACCAAGATTGTTCAAATTATAGCCCTGGGGTCAAAATTGGTTCCGCCCGGGGGTCATTGATTTTCATTATGTACATATAGTAAAAAAATAAAAAATATTTTTGTCTGAAGGTACAAGACATAGATTTGATGTTTGCTATGTAATATTATCTATAGGTCCTCTTCCAAAGTTGTTCAAATTTTTCCCCTGGTGTCAAAATTGGCCCTGCCCGGGGGCAGTGATTCTCAGTATGTACACATAGTAAAAAACAGAAAATAAAACAAATGTTTTCTGAATGGGAGAAAGCTACAGCTTATATATTTGACTTGAAATGTTGTTTGGTGGACCTGTATCAAGATTGTTTTGAATTAAACCCTTGGGTTCAAAATTTTGCCTTGCCCAAGGGGACAGTGACCTACTTTCTTGTCCTTTGATGTACAGCAATGAAATTTTGACCATGTGCACAGTTTTAGTTGTAAAATTGAACTTTGATATCAGGTGACCTAGATTTTGATGATGTGACCTACTTTCTTGTCCTTTGATGTACAGCTATGAAATTTGAACCATGTGCACAGATTAAGATGTAAAGTGAACTTTGATTTCAGCTGACCTAGATTTTGACAAAGTGTCTTACTGTGTTGTCCTTTGATGTAGTCATGAAATTTAGGCTGTGTGAAATATGACCTTCACCACCAAATTCACTAGACTCGCGTGCATTGATTAATCCTACTCTGATCTTTTATTGAGTTAACAACAGATTTAACCACTTATCTGATAATAAGAATTAGATTATTTATAAGGTCAGGGATCTATGCATTATGACAATCTTCAAAATTGTATAGAAACAAAAAAAATCTGTTCCTACACCACTATTTAGTATTGTATTAATGCGGTGGCATAGCATTTTTCTCAAATGCAATCTTGTTTTAGCATTATCATCTATTTTCTCTTTGGCTAAAATATAGTATAAAAACAATTGTTTAAGTTGGAAAGGCAATTTTTTCAGCCTTATCAAAGTATATAGAAATGATTACTATAGAAAAGTGTTCCTTTGTAAAAGGTGTGACAATTGTTTTCAAATAATATCTCTACACAGACTTGTTCATTATGAACTTTGATTGGCATGCTAGAGATTAGAATATTACTTGATATTTCTTTATGATCGTGATTATAAATAGCAACGGATATACATGTATACAATCATTTATAATCCATACGTGTAACGCATGATCAACACCACACTTGTGAAATTGTCCCTTATTATGTAATCGCTATTAGCGAAGACCCCCTCTTAAGGTATCTGTTCACACTTAGTAAAAATATGACACTGGTTATATTACCATGTCATGTTGAGCATTATTGTTTATTATACAATACAATACACTTTATTCCGCTTTAAACTTACAAAGTTTATAGCAATAACAACAACATAAATACATGAGAAATGGTTTACACAGGGTATATGAATACCAGACCTGGGGATGATTACATTGATCAGTAATTGATTTAATTACAATTACTTTCAGATTTTATTGTAATTGATTACAATTGATTACTCAGACTTGCCTATGTAATCAATTAAATTACAATTACTTTGAGAAAGTAATTGATTGATAATTGATTACATTCCATGTATAACTATAAACAAAAGTTTCTTAATGCTATTTAATATATACATTATATACATTATATACACAAAAAAAAGGATTTCCAGCTCATCAACAGTCATCATTTTAACACACTTTTAGTTACTGTCACATCACTTTATCATATTTTAGCATTGCACTTTAGCATCATAAGTTCATGAAACCGTCTATCAGTCAGACTGCATCTATCAGGACGGAAAATTTTGCCTGTAACACTAAACAAACGCTCTACAGGGGCCAATGATGCAGGGATGGTCCTCAGTCTTCTTGGTGTAGGTTTCATAATGAACTCTCTGCAACAGAAATTTTTAAAAGTGTCAATTGTACAGTATACTGTATACAGGTGTTAAAACAGGTGTGAAAACAATAAATTTTTATATGGGAATTCAAAGAGACAATATACTTTACAAAGAAATTATCAGTTTTTTTACAAACACTTCAATGGTACAACAGTATCCATTATAATATAGGCACATTGTCTATCACCTTATAAAATAACTGTTGCATATAATTAAAATATGGTAATATGCATCTGACATAAACTCTAGAATATACAAAGTAAAGAAGTTATCTACATTGTTTGAAACTTTTTAAAACATGGTTTCAGTGATTTTCCTACTTATAAAACAGACTCCGAAAAAGGGCCTCTTCCCAATTGAAATTTTCTTTAAAATCATGCAGTTTTCCCAAAAATCTGAACTTAAACCTGCTTTTTTCTTCCCAAATTAGCAATTTTAGCGATAATTGTTCCCAAAATCATGAGGCTAAGGCCTCTTCCCAATTAAACGAGAAAAATCACTGGGTTTAACCAAAATATGTGAAACAAAATTTAACATACCTTTATGTGGGTAATGGAATTTGAATGTGACTTAGTGTTTCCATTTATCTCCTTAGGGCACAATTTGCACTGTGCTGTCACATTTCCAGATGTTTCTTTAGGAAATTCAAAGACGTCATAAATCCAATGATTTGACATTTTGGTTAGAATACCAGCCAAACAATGATGTCTATCTTTCAGTTAGAATTTGGTTAACTGTATGGATTAAAACTTATTTCTTCATTGTGAGTGATGTATTAAAATGTCTCACTTGATATTTTACTACCTTAGTTAAACTGTAACATGTGAAATAAATCATTTGAATTTCAATAGTTTCATGTAAAATCTGAAAGTAATCAACATCTATCAAATTGTAATCATAATTACAGACTGAATTTAAGCTGTAATTGATTAATTACAATTAATGTAATCAATTTTGAGCAAGGTAATCAATTACATGATTATTACAATGTAATCATGTAATCAATTAAAAAATCGATGATTACGATTAATGATTACCCCAGGTCTGATGAATACTGTTGGAAATTTACAATTACAATAACGTACGAGACTTCATTGTCAATTGTTCATACAAAAAAAAAATAATACAATCATAATAACGTATTTGACTGACATTTTAATTACTTATCGATAAAAAGAAATAACAATAACTGTAATATCTATTTTAATAACAAAAATACAGATTTTATGAATATTGTTTTTCTCTCTTTTTTTTTGTTTTTATGTGCTATTTTAAAATAGATAAATACAGAATCCCTAAAGAAAGCCCAACACGTATTTAATACTGAGTTTTTTACGTTTACTACTCTTTCAATTGTCATATTGACCGACGATTTTAAGTCAAAACTTAACTGGAAAAAGTCAGTAAATTATGGTTAATCGTTCAATATAATTATAATATTGTTTATTCTTAAATCATGTACATGTACATTTGTATTTTTCTTTATCATTTTTTTAATTATCAATCAATTAAATAATTAATAAAATCTAATTTGTAACTTTGAATAATTCCTAGGCATCTTTACTAAACACGAATGACAAATTCAATAAAATGTTTCAAAGTAAATAGTGTCATATTAAAACCATAAAAATGTACCTTTTTTCACAATTGTTGTACATATTTATTGTTTTTTATCTCATATAGATAAAATGAAATATGCTATTGTTGTTGTTGTTATTGGTTTTTTTTTTCGAATTGTATGTTTATGTATAATAATAATCAATAAATTTGAGAGTTGATCTATGTTTATTGATTATTGTAACCAAACTAAGTGACAAACATTCATTTTGGAAAAAAGCTTATTTATCTGTAAAATATTTGTTCTGTTCTGTAACGTTATCAAACATCTACTCCAAAACCGGGAGAGACCGGACAATAAACGTGTGATACTATTCGCCGGTCACTAGTATCCCGGTCAAAATAGACCGGGAGAGACCGGAATTACCGATAGGAGTACATCCCTCTATAAATAGATTTTCGGAATATTTAGGTCATCAACTCATACCATGATAACCCATTGTGTACTACAAAATGATAAATAAAAAAAAACCCGAAGAGACGCATTTGAAAATGTTTGCATTGCGAAATCCTCCAGTTCGCTATTCATTGTACATATCGCGACATTTCATTTTTAATTAATAATAATCAAGCACCCTCATACCGATCGGAATGATCGGCTTTTATTATGACCGACTAAAAGGCTCGAGAAGTTGCTGTCGCCCTTTCACAAAATCTGATTTCATTCCATAAATGGGCGCCGCGCTTCGGCGCGGACGCCAATGAAAATTTATATAAAATTACACAAAGTAACAAAAATTTTATCATAAATATCTGTTCATATACATTGTTTTCATTTGACAGCAGTAGACATTTCTGAAACATTAGTAATTAAGTTGTTAACATCAACAACTTATACTGACAGATAAACATGTCGCGAACAAGAGGTTTAAAATAAGTTTGGGTGTTAAGCTACTCTCCCACACAAAAAGGGTCTAAAAACAGCAACATATTCTTTAATGTTCCTATATATGTATACGTGTAGAAGTAAATTTTGCAGTTTTCACAAGAAACTGTGACCTAAAGGTTGTTATGTTTCACTTGATACAGATGTTAACTACCTTTTTATCACACCCGTAAAAATGTTAGGAGTATGACAGATTGATGTTTGTAGAACTTACTACTTAAGTGTCAGTTTTAAACAGGATAACCAATACATTTTCTTCTCTTTTTTGTCTCTTTAAGTAGACATAATTTTCTATGATATTTTGTGCAGCAATCAACTGCAAGATGAAATAATTACCAAGAACCCAATTATTCGACCCGCAACCAACCAATCTACTTGTAACCAGTTCAAGGGTGTGTTTATAATTCAAGTCACAATTCATTGCAATGATTTGAAATTACAGCATCATAGAAATTACAAATACTTTTCTTATATTTTTCTTCGCACAAGAAATGTATAATCATCAAGTTCCATATATATTAATGTACATGCCTGTGGTGAAATTTCATCTTTTTATGAAATTTCATTTCAAAAAAGCCCAAACTACAATAAGTGGGACTGGGATAATAGCTTTAGATTACGTACTTGACACACAAATTATCTGATATAAACATTTGGCCATTCTTTTAATTTAACTTCAATTTAACCTGACCTCAACACTGGTTTGAGTAACATCATACATGTATAAAACACAATTAAAACTTCCAGGTTGTGTCTTTTTAAGAGATATACATTTAATTTATCCAGCATACAGTAGGGTCCCTGTGTAGCAACACCCTTAAGGTCTGACCCCCAATAATCATAAGGCTATCTGGACAGGACTGACAATATTATTATTATTATTGAAGAATGAGAATCAGATTTTTCATATTTGACAAAATTTATAAAGTCTAAAATGCTATTTGTACTACTGTAACAACGATATCTGGTTACTTGATTATTCCATTCTGACACATCTTTGAATTAGGTAAATGTTTACCATGCATTCCCTTTTTAAATGTGATTTGTTCATCATTAGCAGGACACACTTGAAGACACTGGCAACACAATCTTGTGAGGGTCGACCATCACCACCTGACACCCCACTAGAACCTGAACTACCTAATACCATATTCAAGGACACAGTATCACTCCTGTTCATTTTTCCCCAGAAGTATTCGTCTGTGGAATGGCCTATCCATTGTCCTTATATAGCTGCAAACTAGTCCCAGTTTAGACCTCTGTACTGGGCAGCTGCTTCCTTTTTACCAGTTCTAAGCCAGCTTTGATTTTAACTTTTATCTCAGTCTTGTATTTCTTTTTAACTTGCTTTCACCTTGTGTCTATAAATTTGCACTTAACATATTTGTTCCCAGACAACGCGCCTGCTTAGTGTAAGGTAGCACACCACAGTAATGTAAGCCACAGCTTCGAATGGCCAGGGAGGATTTCTTGGATGTAGTGAATATTCTGGATTTAAATGACTGGTTGTCTTTAAAATGCATTTTCAGCATGAAGACATGTAATATGATCACTGGCAAATTCGAAAACATGGCCAGAAATCACATGCTGTTGATTATATATGTCAAGGCCGCCATTTTTTGTAAACATTGCTTTTAAACAGCATGCACGGTAAAAAGAAGTCATTTAACAGGGGGATACAAACTTTGAGCAGTAGCAAAAAATCTACAATGTTGAGGACTTGTTTCTTTGTGATATTTTGCATGTATAGGGAGTTGCTAAAGCAGAGACGGTGTTCTTTTAGCCTGTATATTTGCAGATATTTTTGCCAGGGGGACGAAATGTGTTGTTTTGGGTCTCGGGCCACTGTAGATTTTGGGCTTCAGCGGAATGAATTGCAACTTTTTTGACTGCCTGCCTATTGCAGATGGGATAATTTCTTTGTAGATTTGCAATTTTATGTCATATATGTTCTCAACAAAGTGTGTTTTCTTTTTCCAGGTTGTGTAGTTTGGTATCAGAATTATTAGACGTATTGCTTGTAGGACATTGACGACAGGAACTTGAAATTAATTGTGGAGTGCTACCTAATCGGCATGTAGACGAGGTCAAGGTTGCAAAGGGGGATAACTTCCACTGCTTTTTTCAAAGGAAATAACCAAATTTACAAGGGCTCTTAAAGGGGATTTTTTCTCGATATAGAATCTATAACATTTGTAATTTACGATCTCGGCGGGAATGTTTATAATTATTAAATTAATTAAAGAAATACATTCAGACATAATCTTAACATCACAATTTCTCGTACTCTTACTCTTCCTCATACAACCACAGTTTACATACGACACAATACCAAGGCATTCCATCACTTTCACTCTCCTTCAGATACTCATTCTCACTCTGACCCAAGCACTCCTCATGATACCAACGCCCACACATACCATCATCGCACCCATACCACATAACTTCATTCACTTCGTCATTCACACGCCCTCTCTCCCCACACACAGCACAGGTAAAACGTTTATGTGCTAAGCGGCCACCAACAGCCTTCTTCATTCGCTCCTCCTTAAGTTCTTGTTCCTTCTTTTTCTTTTCTTCCTCCCGTCGTTTCTTCTTCTCAACTTTCTCTTCTTCTTTTTCTTTCTGCTGTTTCCTTTGTTCTTTTAACCTCAACCTCTCCTCCTTTTCCTCCATCTGGCGTCGCATGACCTCCTCCTTCTCCTGAAAACATGAACAGAATAACTGTTAAAATAGAGATGAAGAAACAAAATTATTAGCAATTTAAAAATAATGTTGTTTTCAGTTTGATTTTTATTAAACAGAGTAAAGGTATGTAATGGACAACAAAATGTTTAAGTAGCGTCGAAAAAGAACGTGTGTGGTTTCATAATATACTTAAGTTGGATGTACAAATCATAATATACTTAAGTTGGATGTACAAAAGCAGATATATTTCTAGTGAATTTACTTCTAATTTTTTCAGCATTTCATCGCCACTTATAACCCGGCCCTCGGTCACAATTCGTGAAGATTTTAATTTTCCCGTTGTTTTTTGTGGCGGTGGCACCAACACCTGCGCCATTGACTGCGGTATGACCCCCTGGTCAACTAGAGGATTTGTCAGGAATGACCCACAAGCCTCACATGTTTTAACATTGTTGTTTTCCTTTTCACCAGCTGAAATTAATATAATTATATCGTAATTTTGATATATTTTTTCCTCTTAAAAATATGTTCTTTACAAAAGAGACAATGTATTGACTTTTCCGCGGAACTGAACAATCATTTAAATGTTTGGTTAAAAGCTATCTAGGAATGTTGGTTACCTTGATAAAAACTTAATGGTAAGTGTGGCAAGAAAACGGACAACGAACGAATTACTTCAAAAGTGAACTAATGGAACTTTTTAAATAAATGTTTGAAATCTTAAACAAATTAAATAACATGCATTACGCGTTTTACTGTTAAAATAAGTAAACGATACACATTAAATACATACTCTGTTAATTTGTTTTAGTAAAAGTTGCTGGAACTAATTGTGATTTATCTATTGCTTGTGGGTTATGCCGGTAGCCACAAACGCCTGTCTAACAGAGGAGGGTGTCGTCTGTTCTATTGCGTGACGCAGAACTACAATCTCGATCTTCCTATTGACAAGCTTGGGTTGGCGAAGCCCAGATGCGTCGCCAGATTACTGAATCTGGTCTTCAGTGGTCCATTTACCTTCAAAATATCAGATCATTCCTTATAGATATACGTAAAGTGTAACTCAAAGGCTTAAAATAATAATATATAATTTTGTATATATTATATAAATATGTTTAAGAATATGTACATACTTGCTCTAAATCTTCCCAATATATAAGGTAACAAGTACATAAAATATTATAATACAATTTAATGATAATATCATGTATCTTTTCTAATGCAAGTCTCGACGAAAAAAAAATCTTTTATGTAATTGCATGTGCATGTACTTACTTTTACATCCAATGGTTGAAGAATGTGCGTTGTGTGGGCAGGCAACCCGAGCAGTACCACATCATTTAAACGGGCAGTCTCCACCAATGGCAACGTAACATGGCTATCATGGTTGTACATGACTAACAGGACGGGTCTCTCCCTGCCGCAGTTAATCAGAAATATTTCTCTGAACCACGTCAGAAACAGGTCACCGTCCATGTAGCCGTTCTCGCTCTTGCCGTACAGCCAACTTCCAGGTATACCGTCATGCATGAACCTGTGTGGTAACGATTCCTGTAATATTGAAATCCAGTATAAACTATTATCTAGAAGAAAGCGGCATGATTGTACTGTGTTGTAATGAAAATATATTCTTTATTACGAGCTCTGTATAGATTTGCAGCGTATACTACTCGATGGCTTAATACTCGATAGCTTAATAAGACTCACTTAAAAATACTCATTTGTACAATGTTAAGGAGACGACGTGTTTAGAACAAATTATAGCATAATTAATGTATATAACGTGACAATATTCATGTAAATTATATAATGTATGTTTTACTTTATATATTATCATTGGCGGTAGTATTCTGCCATCTGCGCAAATACACATGTTGACCGTCACATTTTCACATGATGTGATATTGTTGGCCGCAAAGCAGTGGGCCCCTTTCTGTCCAAACACTTTCACCTTCTTTCTCCCCTTCCCCGACCAACCCACTTCGTCTACATTGAAAATCTGTAATTAAAAAGTGTTTACTTCATAAGAGATGAAGTAGAAAATATTTGATATTTTTTCCCAAGAAAATTCAATATATTTCATAGATTAAAATTTTATCAAGAGTAAAACTTGGTATAAAGGTACCTGTCCTTCCTTGTTCTCGAGCTTCTTGTCCCTCAAAACTTTCTTAAGAAGCTCAAACCAGCCGTCCATTGTATTCTGACTAGACATTGTCGCTCTAGACTTGTCCAGGTTTTCCGGGGTTCTCTCCGACAGTTGTGGGTGTCTGGCGAGGAAACCCCGGAACCACTTATCAGACGGTCCAGTTTCCATGCAAATGAGGGGCACACGTCCTGTAAAAAAACAAGATTATTGTTAGAATCGCAATATCTGCAGTATGAGCAAATGAAAAGACGCAGAAATGTTAGGTTTAACAAAGTTTTGCATTTACAAATCTATATACTAGTAGTTGCTACATTTGCTAAATCTTCCATGGAATTAGTTATCATATGTATGCCTATCGTATCAGAATTTAATAGTTAATTGAATGTTACCTGTTCTACGTAAAATCTCCCGCACATACACACGAATCATGGTCCTAGTCATAGGGAAGCCCTGACCGCCCATGTAAAGTACAAATTCTACCAGGGCCCCTTCCTCTTCTACAGTCAACAGCCTCGGGAGCTTCTTCATGCTGCAGATGTCCAATGGTCTCTCCTGCAACCTATCATACAGAGTGCTTTTAGGTATCCCAAACTCCCGGGCTGCAGTCCTGATCGACTGTTTCTTCTGTCGAACAGCAGATAAAGCCTTCTTCAATTGTCCTGGTGAGTAGTTTGCCTGCATTTTCTGAAAGATATGAACATTTGGTTTGAATTTCTTATATATTCCACAAAGCATAGGCATACTTTCAACTTCTGTGTCTTTTCATTATCTTAATATGCGTAATAACAACCCTTTTGTATTTAAAGCTTGAAAATTGAAGCATGGCCCAGTGATTAACAGATCGAAAGGGTTACAGTCCCTTGCGTTCGATAGAAGTCGGTCTTCATTGAGCATGGAGCTAAATATAATATATCTGTGCATTGAGCAAGATTTAAAATATTTCAGGGAACAGATTGGTATGTGTGTTTGAAAGCTTTAGAAGAGTCTTAATCTGTTAAAAAAATCGATGAATAAAAAAATCAACATAAATAACTCAAATTATATATATTTTTCTATTTTTTCTTTACACGCAGCAAGAAGACTGTAACTAAGTGGTGTTATAAATACTCCCAAGAAATCCACTTATTTGTAAGGGAGACAAATCTGCAATTTTCGACTCGATACGTTCGTACGAGTTGCCTCCCTTAGATTTAAAAATCGAGCGTAGTTTTTTTTTTTCATATTTTTACGATATTTTGTTGTAAATATGTCAAAACTTATATGACATAACATTTTTAAAAGTTTTTCTTTCGGCGAAAATAAAGTTTGATATTATCGTCTGCCGACATAAATTTATCGGTGATACTGCAGACGGGCCTCACATAGGAAGGGGCTGGAATTCTGCGCATGCGCATTGGACATTTTTCAACTTCCCCCACGATGATAAACACGGAAGTGAAATTTGGAAAATTAAAACGATTATTTTGTAACAAATACTTACAAACAAACACTGCTACTTTCTGATGTTGGTCAAAAACAAGCGTTTGATTGATCGACAACAACTGATCAAAGAAAACAACGAAATCATGCGTTTAGTTTGATGGTCGTCCGGATTTGGTGGTCGCCAACCAGTACATGTAATAAACAAATACATGCAATAAATAGAACACACTAAAGTTACCCATTCTTATCTCCTCACGAATGACAATGCCCCTTTCTGTGAAGGCTGTAATGAAAATTTTACTGTCAAGCATTTTCTTCTGGAATGTCATGATTTTTCACAAGCCCGTAACAGATTTTATAATGTAAACTCACTCAAAGAACTCTTTAATACAATTCCATCAAAAAACATCATCGATTATTTGAAAGAGATAAACTTGTATTCAAAGATCTGATTGGCTCTTTTTTTATTTTTATTTACAACGTTTTACATAATAGTTTAAGCCTATTTTAGCATTGGGCACGATATGGCCATTTATGTGTTGACGTGCCGTAAAATCCAAACAAACAAACAGCAATAAATAGAATAAATATTACTTAGAATACCTTAATATCTTTATCTTTCATTTTCTAATACTGTTATTCAATTTATATCTTCTATCTTTCTGTTATCTATTTCAGTTATCTCTTTCAATTATCTTTTCCGTTATGACCACTTTAAATTCAAATTCGGTCTATTTATATGCTTCTTGTGTGTACATGACGTCAAAATGAAAGTAGGGTTTCCCGTAAAAACTGGGTTAACAGTGACGTCACTATATAATTATAGTTAACAATGGCGGACTAATTTCAGACAATATTTGATTATGAAGAAAAATGACATATGTAAGAACATATAAACAATCAATCATGTCATGATATAAATGTAAATTAACTTAAAGGTGGACAATAAAGTTATGTTTAAATATTATCGCTGAATTTACTGAATATCGCATCAGCATGGTAAAGAAATGCTGTCAATGAAACGGAGTGGGTGGGGAACAGACTAGCAATATATTAATGCTATGATTTTTCTTTTAAAGAAAAGACACAAGAAATTTAAATAATTCATCCACTAATGCTGCAATTAATTTTGTAAAGAAATCTAAAAAATATAGTTTGTTGGGTATTCGAACTTGCAAATTCGCAATTGTTGTTATCATACTAACCACTAGGCCATCGGGACCTTTGTATAAAATGTAGTATCAAGAACTTTCCTATCATCAAAAATCAATAAGTAACTGTTATAAATTACGGAAACTAACGAAAAAGCTTCCGACGATTAATGAGTATAGGGTCAATATTGCCAAACAATAGTACGAGTTAAGAGGAAATATAATTTTCAGCGGTTGATCGAAAGTAAATTAGAGGAAAATTATTTTCCATTAGTCGAATATAGTATCCTATTGTATAGTTTTTGCACGAAGTTTTCATGCTAAAGTATTGTGCAGTATTGGACATTCAGCTTTGGGCGATCGACTTGGCAATATCCGCTTAAAATATTAAAAATGGGCAAGTAATGTGTTTAGCATCAATGTTTCAATTTCAACCATCTAGATGTGGTATATTTTGTATGATAATTTTATTATCTGAATTTAAGATAGTTCGTCTATGAATGTGTTTAAATGAATATATATGTTTTGATGCATTTATTATATTAAGTGTGTAGTGTTACATGTAATGATTGAAATGCGAATCTATTACACACTACAGGCTGATCGTTCAAGTACTCAATACATATACATGTAATACATTATTATATAGTATTATAGTGTGTGTTGTTTATTGTTAGTATATAGTATGAGTTAAGAGGACTTAACTTTATCAATATATCTATATTTATAAATATTTAAGATTTCCTTGAGCATTACTTTTCAGCAAAAATTTAGCAAACGCTGAACAAGGTGGGACCAGACCAACAATATCCCCCGTGGCAAATCAATTACAAAACAAGAATTAACTTGAATTGTTCATTCGAAATGTAATGGGGTTTTTTATATAGCAGACTTTCAAATGAATCATGAAATGACCTTTTGCGTATACATACGATCATCTTTGACCTCAATGATATCTTAAAGAAAAAATATAGCTGATAATACTTTAACCTTCAACTTAAAATATGTCACTTTTATAGTACAGTGTACATTAGCAAATTTCCAAATAGAAAGGACAAACTCCGTGATTATCATTCTGTTCTTATCTTTCTGAATTTCATAACAATTGTCAAACTTGCAAATACTTTAAACATTGTGACACTAATGTGGCACCTGTGTCAATCATTACTAGTTTCCGGCCACAAATTGCACCGTAGATTTACCTAAAATATTTCTGATGTCCTCCATCGCGTGCGCACGTGATAGATAAAATATTTCTGATGTCCCCTCTATGCCACCGTAGATTTACCGAAAATGGAGTCTTAGTTATTGCGCATGGATATTCAAACTAGAATTCCCCAGGTGTTGCTTACTTTTGAATGTCGCAAGTTTTCTTATGTAACTTTTAAAAACAGGCAAAACTTCAAAACATATAAATCGTTGTACTATCTTAAATGCTGTTTAGCATAGAAAACAAATGTTTCTCTGATTGATGAAGTAATGTGGATGCCTTACTGGTAAAAATAGACTATATTGGACGCAAATAATAAACGGCCGGAAAACTGCTAGGAAACCAGTGAACATATTAAAACATAAAAAATACTACATAGATTTTTTAAAAAGAAAAAAACATCCATCAACGACATTAAATAAAGTAAAGTTTGTATCATATTTTTTTTCGAAAATGCGTCATAGTTAAATCGTATTCATATACATGCACAGTGAGTTAACTGGAGTGCAGGTATTAGTTACCCGCACTCCAGAGCGCTGATTTTTGCTAAGGTTTACTTATTGTGACGGCAGGGAAAGGGATAACGATAGAAATATCATATCAAATGCTCGTTGATTGGTTACATTTTTCTTGGGTTTCATAGTGTGACAACAGGGAACGTGTTTTTAAGTTTGACAATGATTCAAAAGAGAAAGAACATCAAAACACTCGGCAATCTGATTAATCGTACAAATCAGATGGCCTTGTGTTTCGGTGCTCTTTTTACGAGGGCTGTTCGAAAAGAATTGTTTATTGTCCTCTATCTCGTGGGGCACGATGAAAACCAAGACATACCTGTATAGGGTAATTCAATACCTACACAGCGATGTATAAATGTACATGTTAGACTAAGTGTAAAATAGAAGAAAAATAAGAATCCCTAATGAAAGCCCAACACGGCAAAATTGAAAATGTTGCAGGCTCGGTTTGATTGAGCCTGTTCATGGACGGTACTGTACTACTGTCCATGCCCCCAAGCACCGTCTTAAGCAGAATTTAACATGAACTGGTACAATTTTGAAACATCTGCAGATGTGTTCATATGGCGGTTATCATGGAACCTTCAATGTGACACATCAGTGTCATTCCATGAAAAGCGGCATATGGTCCCCAAGTAAAATAATTGCGTGTGCCCTAAACGAGAAAACAATGGGCGGAACTAAATAAAATGGAATTTTGAAAGGGGATCAGAGGTAATGAAGCCTGCATATCACAGATAATACGTCAAAAGACAAATTTAAAAAGCAGGCCATACAATTTGCCATTTAAATACACGCAGTCACAATTGCAACTACTCGGCCCTTTCCATCAGTCTTCGGATAAGGACCTCGAACACAATAGTATGAATACACAGAACGGATGCGGTATTTCGGTCTAACCTACGCTAAGAAACAAATAGTAATTTACTGCTGGGAGTTGTTGACAAGTTTATTTCAAATATATGTAGTACAAGTCCACCTAAAATAAGTGAATTCATAGGTACAAAAGCAAACAATACATTATTTATATATTTATTTTTAAGGCTGTAGAAACCGAAAGTTCAAGTAACCAACCTGTTGACATTTAGTCGGATTTGTTTAAAATTGAACATCAGTGGGCATATTTAAATTACAAATTGTTGTCAGACATATTTTCAACCACTAGAGTACCGGAATGTCAATTATATACATTCGTTTTTATAGTATCTCTGTTTCTGTTTACATCTGAAACCACGTGGTAGAACTACTTTCAATCCGTATTGTTTCCGAGGTTATTATAGATAATAGCGAATGACGCAGTCATTGACCACTGTAGTAAAAATGGTTGGTAGAAGTGTCGACAAAAAAGATGAAATACGGGCTTATCTCAAAGCTCGCTCAAAACTAGGTTGCCATTTGAAGCAGTTGATGACTGAACTCTCTACTACTTATGGACCTTCTTGTGTGTCTTATGACACAGTAAGGCTATGAGTGCATCAGAAATGCACCAAAATCAGGTAAGCCAAAATCTGCATCTCGTAACGAAATCGTTTCCAAAATTTTGAAAGGATATCATTGAAGTAGATGCCAGATATAAAATTCGTAATATTGCACGAAAGGTAGGCATATCACTATCAACGGTTCAATTTATTTTGAAGAAGCATTTGAAAGTCAGAATGATTTCTGCTAGATGGGTGCCACATCTGTTGACCGATGAGCAAAAGAGGCAACGGGTTAAGGTGGCCAAAAAGCTGCTTCAAATGTTTCCAAAATGTGACAAAAACAGTTTGCCAATGTCGTCACAGGTGATGAAACTTAGGTCCATTATTTTGAGCCCGTCAGTAACGTTAGCATCAAAATATGGGCCACTAAACACAACAAACGCCCAATAATTGCCAAACGGTCTTTGAGTGCAAAGAAGGTTTTGTATGCAATATTCTTCTCTGGTGAAGGAGTCGCATTAAAAGTGTTGGTGAAAAAGGGCAAAAGTATCACTGGGAGGTACTACAAAGACGTAGTACTAAAGAAACTGACAATACCCCCGCTCATACCTCCGCAACAGTTTCGGCGTTTTTGAAAAAAGAAAAAGTAACTGTTTTGTCCCCATTCATCAGTACTTTATTACTGTGCCCAAATCAGCGTATCGTGACGCCTTCAAGAAGTGGATACATCGGCTGAAACTTTGCATTTCTAGTCACGGGGAGTACTTCGAGGGCATGAAATGAACACTTTTGAGCTAACTTGAAATTTGAAGCCTCCATATAGAAATGAGAAACATCCCTCAATCAAAAATGTAAACGGCTTAGTTATTCGCTAAATGGTTGAGTGTTTATGTTTTCTGACGGGAAGAACACTTTCCTCTGCCTGAGTACCGGCTCAAAAAACGTTCGATGACATTCCATTATTTCATCTGAAATACTCAAACAAGTGACATAAAAGAGTCACAATAAGTATTAACTGAATTTTTTTTATTTAATTTAAACTATACCGGGGATATGTGTTAAAATCTTTTTAATCTCTGCAATCCTAACTTCCTGGTCGTGAAAAGAATGTTTTAATTCATGAGGTAATTGTTTCAAATCAAGTTTATAAATGCGTCAGATTCTTCACTCGTATAAGGATTTAAAAAAAATATAAGTTTAGATGGGGTCAGACCAACGTTCTGTGTTTAAAAAATGCAACCGTTTCATTACCTTTAATGTACTGATTTTCTATGCATTTGCCAAACTTTCTATTTTGAAAATGTCCTTCCTCCAGTTATGGTACGTCAAGATGACACTTTAGTTAGTTGACAAACAATACAGACTATTGCCAGTGTCAGAACGCTTGGATTTGCACGCGTATCTGCAATTATACTGTTGAATGGGAAGTTTTTTCGTAACTTAAATTTCGTGAAAACAAACCTACATCACTTTTTCGCCATTTAATAATGCGCGATGATGCATATGGAATGTTTGAAATTTTCGGAAATATTTCGGTTATAATATTTTTCAAATCAGATACCGCTGTTGACATTTGCGTTTAAGTTGTGCTTATCGGATTTTTTTTTTAGCCAGAGCGAGACATTAGTTATGATTGTTGGAGATATAAGATATATTAAATTATTAATTTATAACATAACGCTCTTAAATAAGTGATTACATAATTATAAGCTTTGTTTTTTGGGGGTTTTTTTTGTTGCTTTTTTTGGTCTTGGGGGAAAATCTAATAAACCCAAGGTTGCATTGCAATGAGTGCCAAAACGACTGTCTATGAGGAAAATTATCTTTTCATTTGAGCCTTAACACATTGAACTTCCGCTTAGATTTGTTGCAATATAATTCAAAATGTCCTAGTTGTTACCGAATCATAAACAAAACTTAAGTAACAGAGGTTGTACTATCTTAAGTAAAAATGTCAATTCTGTGTCGTGATTTTTGTTACAGTTTAAAAGAAAGCAAGATGAAATAAGAGTATTTATGTCTATTTAAAATAGAGCAAATTGATATATATGTACTCTCATAATCTCTTAAAATCGTGTCTGGCCTAATTTAGATTATGATAGGAACACTTATATAGAAAACATCTGACAATCAGTGTTTCACAAGGAACACAGTTCATTTTCAGTTCAAGACACCTGACTGCGAACATTAAACATGAAAGCCGTATTATCTTTCCTTGCCGTGTTATTTGGTAAGTTACTTTTATTTCACAGAACCTTTTATATAATAAAATGAAAAAAAACAGAATGTGACAAACCCTTATAGTTCTTTTTTTATTAAGAATTTTTTAATTTGCGTTTCACTTTTACAGATAACTGTTTAGAAGCATGGGGTCTCTGGGTAAGACACTAGAATGCGAGAAGTCTTGGGGCAAAGATTGAAAATAAATTTTAGTGTCCATTTTATAAAAATCTTTCCTCAAGTTTGATTCAAAATATGCAAAGAATGTTTTGTTGACAAAACGGGCATGAATATTGCTATACATGTTTTAATGTTATAGTGTTATCACACCGTATTACCGGCGCCAGTGATGGCAGATCACTGCAGTGATGGCAGATAGCTGAAATTTACTGCTCGGGACAGGTAGGTTATAAATTTGGCTGGTATTATTATATTACACAAATACGACCCATTTCATTGCTATGAAACTATTGTCTATTGACTGGAGTTACTATAAGGTAATTTTGGACTCGTGTTTTGTTGTTTTTAGACTATTTTAAGCAGGTTAAAAGTGACAGCTTCGGAAAAATCCGTGAAAATGTCTGTTATTTTGTTCAAAATATCTCAAGTTTTAACTAAATGGCAGGATTTCGTGTTATTAATAAAGACGTTCATCCATTGGGGTCACATAAGCCAAAAATCTACCCCGTGAGTCTTTTCTTGAAAGTTTTACAGACGTTCAATCTGGTCCGGTCGAAGAAAAAATGCTGCCGTTGTAGGCAGATACTTACTAGTATTTTAAATGCTGCCGTCGATGGCAGAAATACCATGAAAGTGGCTAAAATTCTGACAGAAAATCAAGGTCAATCTTTTATGAGAAATGAATTTCTTCATGTTAATTGCTCTATTTATAGTGCAATTTGGCCGTACTGAATCATCACATTTTGTATTGTAACTGCGTGTTGCTAAAAAGCTTTCTCGATGCACATACCGCATTAATAACTTTTCTATCTTGAGAAAATATTAGAGATGATAGTTTAACGTCTCAATTCCGACTAAAAGGACGCAAAGACTAGAAGTATTGATAAAAGATTGACCTTGATTTTCTGTCAGAATGTTTGCCACTTTCATGGTATTTCTGCCATCGACGGCTGCATTTAAAATAAGTATCTGCCTACAACGGCAGCATTTTTTCTTCGACCGGACCAGATTGAACGTCTGTAAAACTTTCAAGAAAAGACTCACGGGGTAGATTTTTGGCTTGCGTGACCCCAATGGATGAACGTCTTTATTAATAACACGAAATCCTGCCATTTAGTTAAATTTTGAGTTATTTTGAACAAAAAAAACAGACATTTTGACGGATTTTTCCGAAGCTGTCACTTTTAACCTGCTCAAAATAGTCTAAAAACAACAAAATTCTGGAAACAAAGTGATCCCTAAACACGAGTCCAAAATTACCTTATAGTATCTCCAGGCAATAGACAAAAGTTTCATAGCAATGAAATGGGCCGTATTTGCGTAATATAATAATACCAACCAAATTTATAACCTACCTGTACCGAGCGATAAATTTCAGCTATCTGCCATCACTGCAGTGGCAGTGATCTGCCATCACTGGCGCCGGTAATACGGTGTGGTTATGTATATAATCAATAACCCACGAGGCTCACATATCTTTCGGAATGTATCGTTTACGTTCAACCGATAAAAGGAGTGAGCAGTCATTTTATACTATGGACAGTTGTTATTTTTTATCATTAAACATTTTTCATTATCAATTAATGGTCAATGATTATTATATTATATCATAAATTAAATAGCCAACTCAGCTTAAATTGACAACTAAAAATGAGCAGAATGTCACTTCATATGTCTACACTTTTAGTAATTGCAATCTTTCGGCCCTTTCCGTCAGTCTTCGGATAAGAATCATGAACACAATAGTATGACAACACAGAACGGGTACGGTATTTCGGTCTTACCTACGCCAAGAGAATAAACATGTAAACAAATAGTAATTTAATGCTGGGAGTTGTTTAAGGGGTCATTTTTAAGGTATGAGGTCCGTAGTACTACGTTCTATTTTGTCATATTATAAAGTCTAACTTGCCTCAATGAATTTCTGTTTGTGACGAAACCAGCTTAACTTTAACCCATCCTTCAAATACAATGTCGTATTTCATACTGCATGACTACCTGTCTTAAGCAGTATAATATGTAATCGTCTTGCAACAATCGGACAATTAATCAGTATTTATATTATGCCCATGCGATGGTAAATTGTGGGTGTAAAGGTAAAAAATATCTGGTGCCAGCTTGAGAAACACATATATTTAACTTGATACGGCTCGACGCCTTCAATTTTTCTTCTTGTTTACTTGTATCTTTTTACTGCATATTTTGTCACTTTTAATACTTAATTTTCTTTTCCAGTCGCTTATATCAATGCTGAAGACTGTCCGTCCAATAGCATCACTGAATGCACCCATATGTCATGTTCTGGGGGTTATGTGATGGCATGTGTGAATAATATCTGCACGTGCACACGTGAGTGACAATAATTATTGTTTTGGACATAGCAACAAAATCAGCCCGAAACATCAATATTCTGATTTAATTACTACATGTATAAAGACTCATTTCATTGTTTTTTTTCGCATTAGTCTGGTGTACTGGACTAATATTTCAAACAATATGACAAAACTGCATAGCAAAACATTAAAATATTTAACAACAATAAATGCATGAACCCATGTGCAATTTGAATTTTGAAGATGTATGGTAGAAAAGCTCCAAATATACAGAATTAAATGTTTAAGGCTAGTGTACTTAAATAATGCCTTTCTTGAATCGTATTGCTATGTTCATTTAATGTGTGGACAAACTTTCCAGAAGTATTTTATACTTATTAAAGTGTTAAAATGTATTAAACATTTTCTAAAAAAAATGTAAGAATATTTCTTAGCGATTTAGTATGAACATTTACATTATTGGTAATAATATCTTGTTCTAGAACGATTTATTATCTCATATATTTATGTCATACGGGATCATGTATCTCACACTCCGCAACACAGCAAACATCCATGTATGTATTCTTTTGTGTTTGTTGTCACTTAATTTTACTTAAATACTATCAACATTATTATTAATGGCATTACAGACCTTCCATTGTAGGCACATTCACTTTAAACTATTCATTCATATTTTATAGCCCAGACAGAAACCACTTGCACTTCAAATTCTCAGTGCCAGGGAATGAGTACGGGTGGATGTCAAATTTTCCAGACTTGGCAGTGCGTAAGTGGAGTATGCAGATGTACGTGGGATTTTGGCGGCATCGGAAAATAAAATGCACTGAAGCAATCAATTTTCATGAAAAAATAATTTTAGATAAACTTTTCAAAGTGATGATAGATTTTGTTGAATTATTCAGTTACCTCTCCTTTGAAATCAATAAGAGTTTCAAATTGCGATTTTATTTATTTCAGGCAATTGTTTTCATTAAGGCACCTATATACTTTTTCTTTGGAACCATATGCCTAATTTTCTGGAATAGCACGGACGTATCAGATTAAGGGTTCATAAATAACTGCTATGTTCTCACATTTGCGGAAGTTTCTAAGTTTAAAATTTCACTATCATTGTAATGTTTATACGTAAGTCGGTGACCGGGGAACATTCAGTATTGTCCATGAACAGACTGAATCGATATCTGGGGGAAAAAATGATCACTCGGATTCCCTCATGAAACCGCGCCTGCAGTGTATCATTTTCAATTTTTTGCCGTTTTGGACGTTTTTTACGGAGTCCGTTTTTCCCGTCCTTCAGAATTTCGAATTCAATACTTGATAACAAAATACATTCGGGCAGTATGACCATATGTGACCATATCATGCAATGTTAAGTCAAATGGTCAATATGTATAATACATATGAGCCGTGTCATGACAAAGCCTGCGCATCCGCAGTCTGATCAGGATCCATGTTGTTCGCTGTTGGTTTCTCTACTTGTGGTAGGGTTGGTAAGCGAACAGCATGGTACAAATATCATTTAATTTTATACTGTTGGTTTAGTACAACGTACAAATATCTTTTCAACTATAAAAAGTGTTCATGATCTTATAATGATAACTAGTATTTAATGTCAATCTATAAACACATTTGGAATATACTTGAACTGTGACGGACGCAACATGTGCCACAAATTATCACAAAACTGATTTGATTGGACATATGTCAATATGGCATTTACAACCGATAAAGTGTATAATTCTTCGGGGAAAAACATAAGTTTCTCGAACCAAAAGTTAAAAGAGCATTTGTCTGATTACATTGCAGATTCGTTCTACTTTGGAGGGTCTTTCTTGCACAATATGAAAGCCAAAGTCCTAACCCAAGCAATATGTCCGGGAGCTTTTCTCGTGGCTTGGTCGTTTTTGTTCCGGCGATTTGCTTCTTTCTCTTTAACCGTATATCGATCGTAAATGTCGAAAGCTACATCATTGAAACAGCCCCCTTCAGAAAATGAGATTTATATTATTTCGATCGAAAGAGAGGTCTTAAAACTTAAGTGGTGTGTGACAAAACGCACTAAAGTTGAATTTACGTCATATACAGTGAGCCATTGTAAAATGAACGCTACGGATTTTACAAGTAATGATCATGCAGATGCATAAGTTTAGAGGATCTTCTTCACACCAATATGAGGCTCTCAAAGCTCAAACGCAAGAAAAATGAAAGCAAAAGTCCAGCGTAAAATTGTCGCTTTTTGGACCGGTCGTAAGTATATAAGTGTAAGAAATTTCGTAAAAGAACAAAATTTTCTGGAGCGCACCGTTAATAGACCATTTGTCTGATTCCGCTGCAAATTAGTTATCCATTAGTTTGTATGGTCTTCTTAACACCATATTAGACCCAAAGTCATAGCCAAAGATAAAATATTTCGGCGATGTCCGCGTGGTATGGTAGTCATTGCTTGCGGAGAGCTCGACATAGTTGTCACAATGGCAGTTCTGTGTAAGTGCGTGCGCCCTCTGTCCGTTCGTACCTCGTACGTTCATCCGTCCGGATTAGGCATGTTCCGGTCGTAACTCTGTCATAAGTAGGCATAATTTAAAAAGAAATTTAGCACAAATGATCAAAATAATAAGACAACGTGTCGCGCACAAAAACGGTGTGGGTTTGTCAAAGGTTAAGGCCACACTTAAAGGTTAAATGCAAAAAAATTGCAAAAACATCTCCGCACCATAACTCTATCACTTGCCGGTGGAATTTCAAGTAACCTGGCATAAATGTTCAAGGTCGTGATAAGAACCGTGTGGCCAGTTCAAAGGTCAATGTCTTACTTTAAGGTCAAATGCAAAATAATGAAAGGCCTCCTATCTTTTGTCCGCACCATAACTCTATCACTAGCTTGTGAAATTTCAAATAACCTGGCACCAATGTTAAGCATCATGAGATGACGTGTCCCGCGCAAGAACTGTTTGGCTTGGACAAAGGTCAAGATCTTATTTTAAGGTCAAATGCCAAAAAAATGTCTCAAATGACTTGTCCGCACCATTACTCTATCACTAGCTTGTGGAATTCAAACAACCTGGCACAACAGTTCAACATCATGAGATGGCGTGACGCGCGCAAGAACCGTGTGACTAGGTCAAAGGTCAAGGTCATACTTTAAGGTCAAATGCGAAAAGCTTGTCCGTACCATAACTCTATCACTAACCAGTGGAATTTCAAATAACCTGGCACAAATGTTTAACATCATGAGATGGCGTGATGCGCACGTGATTCGTGTGGCTCGGTCAAAGATCAAGGTCATACTTTAAGTAACCCTAGCAATATTTCCTGGAGATTTTCGCGTGACATGGTCTTTTCTCGGACCGGCGATTTGTTCGTTCTGTATACATGTATATAGTTTTAAATATCTTAAATTTAATAAGCTGCTGCTCGTTTGACGGCGTGTTATACCATGCATGGTCTTATTTTGACATGTTCTTCACAATAACAATACAGATATTTGGATACATTGTGCATGGGATAAAATGAAAATTACCAAAGAACTGTAAAACATCTGTAGCATATACTATATTACATAAAACAATATTGTCATTCAGTAATTCCTGTGTCTTCATTTGAAGAAAAATAATGCAGACAATTACGAAAGAGGTAAAATATTTTATGTGTAACTATTACGCAACTATTGTATCATATCTTGCAAAAAGTAATCACTGTCTCGCAATACTGCGACGCTATATGCATATACACTGTGAGAGTTTAAATTGGTCACTTTCATATTTATAATTTATTCTTGGCAATGGATCGAGTAGTTAAGGAAAATAATAAAATCATCTATGTCAATGTATGTTGCATATTCATTTATGAAAAAAATTCTTTCTTTCTTATTTAAGTCTTATTCCAAGAGAAAAATGACGTGTTTTGAATATATCATAACCATAGAAATGTAGCATTTGATTATTGATGATATACATTTGTAATTCATGACACTGGAATCAAAATTGTTTTTTTTAAAAAAGCATTGTTTTGTAGTTCTTGACTAAAGTCAATTACGTTTTCAAGATACGTACAGCTCAACAGCTGGTAATAATATGTATATAGTGCAATAATGCATGTTGTAAACATCGAAATGATGCGGGTTTTGTAACAAATCAATGACAAATTTTAGAAAGGTTAGTTTTTCAAGATATTCAGTGTTTATGTCGAAAGGAATTAGGCTGATTCTTTAACCTTAATGAATCAAAAATAAAACAAGAACAGTATTACTGTTTTCTATATATTTTGTATTGTGTTGGTGCATGCGCGCGTGTGCGTGCGTGTATGCATGTGTTTCTCTCCACCCACACATATCTCCGTCTTTCCCTCCCTCTCTCTACAAACAAATAGCGTCCTTTTTTGTATGGTGCTTTTAAAAGTCCCATGATTTAAACGATAAACATTTTATTATTTTTGATTATTTTCCTATAAAGATTTCTAGTGCATAAATCCATTTATGACTTGATTACAATAAGACTTTCATCACTATGTATTTATCAAAATAGTACATGTCAATTTTTGTAATTAAAGTTGATCAATTAATATAAAAGGGGAAACAATAAGAAATATTTATTGTTTGTGTCATTACATCAGTTATTCCTCTTTCGTATGAAAAACAGTGTAAAATTCTTCAAGATGTTGATTGTCAAAATATCCATAAAGATCGGAAAGAAAAATCTCAGCGGATTTTTTAAAAAAATTTTGGCGTATTTGCTAGATTCATTTGCTTCGCTTCCGTCCCATCACATATGACATACAGGAAAACTTATATCTGAAACTAATTTTTTAGTTAAATGAAGTTATTGACATAAAATTCGTTGGCATATATCATAATTTCATTTTAAAGGAATCTATTTCTTTGTGATCTCCAACTACAACTTTGGGATTCAGTTTTGATACATACTCGATTAGAATATTTATTTGCTCAAATTTTAAGAAAAATGAAAACACTTAGAAGTACATATGTATTTATTTAGTATTTATTAAGACAAAGTTATGTAAGATTTTCTTATGTAAATATAAAAAGCCATCAATGATGTGTCTCGTCCAGTCCTTCTATGAAACTAACCTAATGATTTCAATATTTTAACATTAATAATTAGTGTGCTTGGTATTAATTTCATGGTCTATATTTCAAAATTACAGAACAATTCAACAGGAGGTAAATTAAAGGTTTAAACAGTTTAACATTAAATTCCATGAATAAGGATACTACATTTTGTAATTCATTTGCATTAAGGCATTTTATTATTGGTTAGACATAGATCAAGTACACTATTGTCTATGAAATTATCCGAAAAATAGTTTGAAAGCAAACTGATAGACTGCAAGACAATTTACAACAAGCGAATGCATAAACATAGGCGATCGTGTTTTTATGATTTATATTTTATTCGACCGAAATGTCCATGTTATTTTACACGTGTTTGAAGACCCTCACTTTTAATAGAATAGTCACACACGTCATTTGACGCATTGACTTTTACATCTCTTTGGTGACATAATAATACTAGTTAACCAAGTGAAACAAAATGCACAGATACAGGATCTGTTGCTTGAACACACTTTATATTATTTGGTTATACATTAATCTTACATTAATGTTAAGTAAAACATTTCTTGAGCTGTATCAAGGGTCAAATTTAATTGAGTATCTGATACTTGAACAATTTCATATTATTTGGTAGTGCATTAATATTTTCCCCAAACATTGCGAACACTTAATAGTGTACCAAATTTAGTGTCCATGTTGACAGGTTGTATCATTCTCATAATAAGTATGTATTTATCATTCCATACAAATTAACAAAATGATAAAGATCAATAAACATACACATAGTTTATTAGTTTATTTAAGTC